TTTATACAAGTGAAATACTAGGATATAATCATGGTGAAAAGAAAGGAGACACAGACACGATATATATTTGGAAGAAAAAAAAAAGTTTATTTTGGTCGTAGAGTAATATTTATTTATGCAAATGTGTTTGAATACTGCACTATACATATATAGGCACATGTAGTATGTTGTAATCAGTTGGGCAAAACAGCATCAATTGTTTTGTTTTTGAGTCTATATGCATGTGGGAACACATTGGGTGCTAGCTGCAGCCATTTATTTTATACCAACTGTGACGGACCGCCTGGCAGCCCACCTTGGAGTTTTCATCAGAGAACTGCTTCCTCATTGTTGGGACACAGTACCAAGGTATTATAGCTGGGCATTGCACCCAAGGACTAAATGACACTGGCTTAGGTGAATTATTTCCCCTGAAGGAGCAAATTGGATCATGCTTTGCTGGTTATTTTTGCCTTCCTCTGGATAAACTGTGGGTGTAGGAGTGTAACTTTTTTTTTTTTATGGTTAAACTGGATGGACTTTTGTCTTTTTTCAGCCAGACTAACTATGTAACTGCAATACAGGTTTTTATACACTTCATAAATATGGGCAGTCTCCACATGAAGAATAAAAGCATATATTAAAACATTCGGATAAACATCCTGCACTGATTAGATAAAGTAAAGTTAACATATGACTAATCCCATCATGTAAGAACCTCCAGGAGGACTAGCCAACAGACAGAAACAATAGGTGATTCAATTAACAATGGGACAAGGACACAACAGTAAACACATCACACCTTATTAAACAGATTACAGAAAGAGACCTCAGCATCAGGTTGTTTTGAGTTGATTATATTATCATGTTAGCATCTTAGTCTAGGAGGGGGGTTGACGCAGTCAATGCTGGTTTGAGCACAGAGACCCCAAATCTGTATCCTGGTCCTGCAGTATTCAGAGTCTGTGTGTTTTGGGGAGACATGGACTTGAATCCGAAGTAAAACTACTCCCCAAAAAAAGGTCCCCCAGGCACACACCTCCCAAAGAATACAGCCCCCTCAAATGTCAGGGCCCATAGTCCGTAGGTAAGAGGCTAGCCCAGGGGTGGGCAAACTTTTTGACTTGAGGGCCGCAATGGGTTCATATATTGGACCCGGGGGCCGGACCAAGAGTAGATGAATGAGGTGTATGTGTCATCCATAGTAAGTATGGTAATATTCCCCCATAGTAAGCATAGTAATTAATCCCCCATATAGTAATTCATCCCCCATAGTAATTCATCCCCCTAGTAATTCATCCCCCATATAGTAATTCATCCCCATATAGTAATTCATTCCCCATAGTAATTCATCCCCCATAGTAATTCATCCCCCATATAGTAATTCATCCCCCATAGTAATTCATCCCCCATAGTAATTCATCCCCCATATAGTAATTCATCCCCCCATATAGTAATTCACCCCCATATAGTAATTCATTCCCCCATATAGTAATTCATTTCCCATATAGTAATTCACCCCCATAGTAATTCATCCCCATATAGTAATTCATCCCCCATAGTAATTAATCCCCCATATAGTAATTCATTCCCCATATTAATTCATCCCCCATATTAAGTCCCCCCTGTGTCAATTCACTTACCTTTGCTCTGCGCGTTCCTCTCGCCGTGTTCCCACGCCGTTCCGGTGTAGCATGAAAATCTGTCTCCTATGAGGATCTGTCCCCCTCGACGTATCTGCGCATGTGCCAGTTTCAGGCATTAGCAGCCGATCGGCGATCTCCGGCACATGCGCAGATACGTCCAGGGGGACAGATCCTCATAGGAGACAGATTTTCATGCTACACCGGTCTTCAGGGCGGACTGTGAGAGGAGCCTAGCTCCCCTCGCGTTCGTCACGCTGCCCCGCCTACACACATCCTGACAGCCATCCTGACAGTATCACGCTCCGCGGGCAGATTAAAAGGTCCGGCCGTATACGGCCCCGGGCCGTAGTTTGCCCATTGCTGGGCTAGCCTGCAGTCTCCTTCAAAAGACCCTGTCTGTTACACCATTTTTTTTCTAAAAATTTATTTCACTGTTTGGGGTAGCACAGGAGTTATATTTCAGGTATGGCATGTGTGTATCGCTGTTTGTTCAACAGAAGCTGGTCTAAACAACTGGCTTCTGTCGAACAATCCTGCTGGGAAACCAGTCTTCGACTAGCACATGCAGCGCTTAAGTGTATTCTGATGGGGGGGAGTTTGGAAGATTCCTGCATCCACATATCTTGTCAACCTGCTGGTTGATAGTCTAATCATTGGAGGAGAGCACACTGAGTTCCCATCACAACTAGAGAACTGACAATGCTGTGCTCTCATGCCTAGTGTGGTCAATTTTTAATAGGAAAGCAGAGGGACAGGCAGGAACACCCAGACTTTCACACAAAGGAAGCAATACAAAGAGAACAGGACACTCTTCCTACAGCAGGCACACAAATATTCTTTAAGACTAAAATCAGTCCTATGTGTTTATAGGGAACATGAAAGGACAGAACTATGGTAGTTGGCATGGCTGACCCTTCATGAATACTAGCTGCCTGGCTGTCTATGGCTTCAATATGTGGAACAAGCACACAAATTAAAAATGCTGTAAGAATTTCTAATCTGCATACTTGATCTAGTTCAGTGCCTCAGACAGAACTGAAGCAATAGGATCATAATCAAAAGTCTAATAAACCAGCGCTAGACAGCGCTAACTTTTTAAAAAAAGTTTTACCCTTTCTAGAGCTGTTTTTTGACTCCTGATTGTAAACACTTGGTGGTGTTAGTTATCTGCCCTGGTGAATTTTGGGATATCATAGATGAGTGCAGGCATTAAGTGATCTTTCTAATGGGATCAGAATGACAGATATTCAGCTAGCAATCTTCAGTAGAGGGCGGTCAGCAAGGCAGCCACCATATCTTTTTCAATATAGGTTACATTCAAATTTTCAAATTAGAGGTGATGTATCATCAATCATGGTATGCTTTTGATGTCTCAACAATGAACAACCTTATGTTTAATAATATGAAGCAGATGTTTTGTATACACAGTCATACAATTATACAGCCAAAGTCATAAGGAATACACTCCACTTTAGGATTTTGCACTGATGGGTACCTGCAGTTTCAGCTTTAAAAGCAAAGTGCAGCTTTTGCAAATAAAGAAATAAATGCACATGTATTTGCAGCAAAAATAGAGCAGCTATTATTTATTTGCAAAGCATTGCAACCATGATCAGTGGATGGCAGGTGCAATGTGCAGGTTCCTGCAGACTTTTCCTACAGCTCTATGTCTGTACCAAAGTATGGGCTTTCAGTTACTGAGCTGGAGGAAGTGTCACTGGACTAGAAGTGCGTTAACCACTGTACTTGCGTTCCATTGAGAACTTCAAGTCCATCTGCTGCAGTGGCAGATGGGACTTGTATTTTACTTATTCATAAATCTCTGTGAATGAATGCTGTAGCTGTGTGGCCTCAAAGTTCAAAAGTGACAGCTGCAGTAGGGAGAGGAACCCCAAAGGGCTGTCACAGAGGGTGCTGTTTTGTGGCCAGGGGTTTGCTTGGCACCACATTAAATGTTACACCCTAAAAAGGCTGGAACATGATCTAAAAGGTGGAATTAGCCTTTAAGACTGCAATACAATGCTTTCAAGCCCTGGTACCCAACACGGAGCCCTTTGGTACTTGTTGTGTGACCCTTGGACTCCAGTGGGATCATTGATTTATAAAGGGTAATAGCAGTGGTCTCTACTAGCCTCAAACAACATGTCTCCCAGTCTTCTTCAGCTAGTCTCTAACCAAACCTGCAGCATGTCCACAATCACTGACATCGCTGACATCCACTGCTTTGGAAATATGCTTTTTGGTTCCTTTTGGTCTGTAAACGAACGCTCGACAAGATACTGTTTCAGTGTGATTTCCATACACTGGGTGCAGCTTTTAAGCATCAACAGAGGCCATAAGTTCATCAGTTACACCTTTACAACTTTAGCATGCAACAACCTTCCATTAGCATTAAGAGCTGGTAAATATTTATTTTTCTCCATGTAGTTAGTATATAGTTATTACTTTTATAAACAATGTGCTTTGTTAGTGCAAATGATAATCAAGAGCCACTTACGCACAATCACAAGTCAGATTTTACATGCTGTAAATTTGTTAATGGTTATGGAAAGTTGTCACTCTTTTCGCTATGAAAGTGCAACTCCAGCCAAAAGTTTATTTTTGTTTGATTCTGGATAGAGTAGAGAAGGATTAAAACCTCGGCTATGTTTTTACTGCTAACTGGTCCTCATCAGAGGAGATTTCAACTCACTTCCTGTCCGATAAGTGGAACAGAAAGTGAAAGAAAATCTCTTCCGTTGTGACTCAGGCAATGATAAAAACTTTATAAAGCCACTAACCATACTCCAGATTTTATTTGCTGCCTTATATCGTGTTACCCTCTCTAATTTGTCTTTGTGACCAACATCACTGTCAGACAGCAATAAAAACATGTCAGAGATTCTAAAGCAATCCCCCCCCCAAAAAAAAAAAGTGGTGTTACACTTTCTGTAAGCATATTGTGAGCAATATTGTCTAATAAATTATGTAGCGTTTAAATTCATGTACTGCTTGAAGCCAAAACAAAATTTGTTATTGTGCTTTCATATAAAACTGCTTTTAATTAATAGGGTAATACATTTGACCATTATGGAAGATATTTGTCTTAAACAGAATTCATAAATATTTCTTTTCACACCTCAGGTGTTTTTGTACTGCCAAAAATGTGTAATGATAATTAATAAAACAGTATTCACACATTTGCAATTTCCTTGCTGCCGCAACAAGCTTCCTTCTTCCAAAAAGAATGCCACTGCTTAGATATAAGAATATATTGAAGTTTCTTCACTGTAACTACTCAGAGTTGGGCTGACATGATGTAGGTAAAGCTCAGTTTTGTTTTATTCTTCCTTTGAATTAAATGTATTTCGATTTGCATCAAAAATGTCACCTTACCTTTAGCCCAGCCATTGGCAATCATGACAAGCCAGGCATCTCTGAAACGGCTATCTGCCTGTGTGACTCCAGATAAGATTTTCCAAGTTCTGGTCACTTCCTTCATTGCGGCAGCAATAACTCGAAGAGGTAGGAAGCAAAAAATTCTGTAGACCAGGTCGTGTGGAAAGTAATATACCATATACCTGAAATTGCAACAAAAAGGAAAAAGTGAATTTGACATACCTGTAAGTTCCATATCTTGGAGTACAGGACACAGGATTTGATTCATAGACGAAGCGTTATATGCTGCTACCGTCACATGATTGGACGCTGGCGAAATCGTAGCTTGGTCCAGCCCATAATGTCCCCATATAGCCCTGCCCACTCTGTGAGATTCCACTTTTGTCAGCAAGCCATAGAGAGATCAAAAAAGAGAGGACAGGACCTTTATTTACAGGTACGTAAAAATTCCTCTTACCTTTATCATACAGTACAGAACACAGAAATAGATTCATAGACCATGGGACATCCCCAAGCAATAATCTAGGTGGGCAACAAGACAGCTAAACAACTGCAATAGACAGACAGGAAGAGAACAAGAACACTAACGGGCCACAAAACTGTTAACAGTAGAAACACTCTGCTGCAGAAGCAACAGCAGACTAAACAGCTGCCTAGCTACCAACAATTTGGCAGAAAAGTGAACCAGAAGTGCTATAGATGCTTTATAGGTCACCGAACCCGAAGTTTAATGGACCATGACTTCGGGAGGGAAGAAGGGAGTCGTTCCTGAAGGGTAAAAGCACTGTGAAAGAAGAAATTGGGGAAAAATGACCACCCTGGTGGATGGGAGCGATAGGTGCAGTCTCAAGGGTGGATATTTCAGTAAGAAATTAGAGGAAAAGGGAAACGAGTTCTCAATGAGATATGGCATAGCCACAGATGTCAGACCTGACCACCAACTGCTAAGTGGGCTATGCCAACCAGTAAAACATGGCAGGGAAACTAAGGTTTCAAAGGAAAACAAGAAACATAATGAAGGCAGGGAAAACATCGGTCTCCATGCTATCTTGTCCCAAGTGGAATAGGAATCCAAAGAAGGTTACCACTGTTGATAAAAATAGAAAACGATGCAATGGGTTTATAGGATTGCCCTTAGAAGGGAATCCCTCTTATTACAAGGATAGCCCGGAATGGCTTTGACATCCTATAGAGTCCAATCGACCAGGAAGAATCCAGTGTAGTAGAAGGTTGCACAAGTGCAAGGTGTCAAGTTATAAGAAAAAGTGTGTGTATAAGGGTGACCAGGATTTATACAGTACCAAATGAAATGCTTCAAGTATGGCCAGGTCAAGGTACAGTATATATACACACATTAGAATAAGGTAAGAAGAAGAAACGAAGGATGACTTTTTTTATTAGTGCATTAGGTGGCATGGTTTTCCCAAAGTTTGCCAAGCAGGAGAAACATCTTGTGCCCAAAAAGGGATGTAAAGGGAGAAATTCAACAAGAGGATGGAATGCGCCAACTTAGGGAATAGTCAAGTATATTAGCAAATTTCTTGTCCAGGCTGTTATACATCCATAGGCTAATGAGGATGGCGGCGCACAGTAGGCCAGAGGACTATAAGCGGAGAGGAAGGGAAACCACCCAAGAAACGCTGAAAACATGGGTATTTAAACTGGTTTTGATACAGTTTGGTAATATTGTACCCTGTATAGATGTTGAAACCTAGGCAGGGAAGGACGAATTATATAACAACACAAAAATGGAAATTGGCAAACCGCAGCCATGGAAGGGATTGGGCAAAAAAGAAAAAAAAAAAAAAAAAAGGTGTTTTGGAGCTCAGGACAAAGCTTAATGGTTAAGCCAGGGAGGTCATATCATGGCAGAATGGGTTAGTTGGGTTTCACATTGTGTAAATCACCTACTCCTGTAGAGTGGATTAGGAACTATATGCTCAATAGAAAAGAATTACCCCTGTGGTGTCTTTTGGAAAATCAGCATAAGAGCAAAAACTATCTAAAAAATGATGGATAATGGATAGTGCCTTGAAAAAAGGAGTTTTTTTTTTTTTTGATGAATCAGACAGACAAAATTGTTGTGATGAAGACGGTGTCTGAAGAGACATTACTACCTAGACAGTCAGAAAAAAAAAAACACTTCTCATGGAATGTAGGCACAGCTTTTGGAGAATATGGAAAATATCAGCTGTCAGGTTTTAGATGATAGAATTTAGGTGACGAGAGGCTTATAGCCACAAACTCAAAAGGGGATTCCACTGGTTATCCTAGGAGCTGGGAACAGTGAGAATAATCATGCACACCACAGACATGGTGAATGGAGGTAGTCATTCATGTCAGTTTGAAGTGAAAAGCAGACAGGAAGGAAATTAACCAGCAAAATGCTTTAACCTGAGAGCGGAGTTCCAGTTGAAAAAAAATAAATAAATAAAAATCAGCAGCTAAAAAAACTGTAGCTGCTGACTTTTCAAATACAGTCACTTATTTGTCCCTTGGTCCAGTGGTGTCCTCACCACGGCTGGTTTCACCGGCCGTCTTCTCTCCCTGGCGCCCGGATCTTCAGTGTGGGCACCCGGCGGTGATAGGTTGCAGCTACAAAGCCGGGTGCCCACTGCACATGCACGAGAAGCTCTGCACTTTGTGAATGGCCCCGTAGTCTTCTGGAACCTGTCACGTGTCCCAGAAGACTACAGGAGGGGGTGAGGACAACTTCACTTCAGGCAATCGCAGCAAAAGTGGGAGCGGGTACCTGTCAAATTCTGATTCCTGCTACCCCCCCCCCCCCCCAGGCTGCCCAAAGGTGCCAATCCTTAATGGGGAGCAGGGGATAAAGACTTAAAAACAGAACTTCCCCTTTTGGGTGGAGCTCCGCTTTAACATTTAAGGACAGGAGCTCCAACGTAGGAGTTGGTAAGCCCTGAAATAGTTTCCTGAGTAGGAAAGGTACACTGAAATGAAGAACTAGATACATAAGGAGAGGAAAGCAATTAGGAAGAGGAGTCACTGTTACCCAAGTGATAACCAATTTCCAATTGTTTCCTTTTGGAGTTGTGAACAGGTTGTAAGGAAACAGATCATCTTGCGTTGTCAGCAGAAAATGGAAGCCGAATATGAAATGAATTACGTTACCCAATAGAGAGACAATACAATTAGGGAAAACACTAATACTGTAAGTCTTCTACACCTGTGCCCCCTGAACCTCTTGTGTGCACATCACTAAAATGCCATCGAGACATGTAAGCCAGGAACCAGTATGGTAAAATGGTAGAGGGAAACTCTTACATCTGTCTTACCTTTCCCATGTCATTGGTCCCCGAGGGGTCTTCAGGGTCTGCATGCCATAAGGATGGACCACAGCCTTGGACAAGTATGACACCCTGTGGCTAAATACATTCATTGCTCAATGTGTAAATGTGAGCATTGAAGGCAGGATTCAATGACAAAAGTAAACATTACAGGCCAGCCACACCCTCGTGGGGCCAAGTTTAGTTCCCAAGGTATGATCAAGTGTCACTGATCCAGAAACTGCGAATGTGCCATGAACATAGTAAGTAGTCAGATCTTGACAGAAATGTTAGTTGAAGGAGGTATTTAAATATGCTGAAAATATAGTAAGAAAACTCCTCTAAGAAGGAAAAGGCATGTATCAAGTGAAAACTCAAGCAAATACTGGAGCCTCAAGGAGTGGCTGGGGTTATATGGGGACACTAGGGGCCATTATTCAATTACCTTAAGCTAGTGGCAAACAACACATGGTCTATGAACTGATTGCTTTGTTCTGTACAATCAAGATATAAACTTTTCAGGATCACCAACATGCTGCAACCTAATGTATAATAATTTAAGATATTCCCAGCTTTCCCTTTCCTCAGGGAGCAGAACGTCTCATGGGGCCATGCTGCTGCTGAATCACCACTAAGAAAAGTATAAGTAGCAGACACAAAGAAGCAAGTCAATCTCCTGCTTCGATTAATGTTTTTTCAATTCATTGCTATGAAGATGTGCTTACTAAAAACCACATATAAATGCAGCAAACAGGATTTTTTTTTATAACAAACTGCAGTAAAATTCACTGATCTGAACAGTATCACATATTATTTTTCCTTCTTTGGTCAATTATATAAACTTTTCTGTTTCACCAAAAGGCTGCAGCCTAATCGTAAATGCACTAGGTTTAAAACACATAAAAATTCAGCAACCTGGATTTTCTTTATAAACTGCACTAAAAATCACTGACGTGAACTGTGTCTCAATTATGTTTTTTTTTTTTTTTCTTAGGCTGAATGAATTTCAATAAATCATCTTGAAGAAGCATACTTAAAAATTGACTCAATTTTAAAATATGATAGGACTATTAAAAAAATTTTCTGAGGAGGGAGGAAAGCCTAAGGCCTTTATGTATATGGTTTCCAGACTCAAGCTGGCCATAGATGAATTGAAATTCAGCTGGTTCAGAAAGGACCAGCTGAATGTCGATCCATCTGTGGGCGTTTCTGTTTATGAGAACTTGATCTAATGATCTTCTCACAAAAGGGCTTGTTGAAAAATTGTTGTTTGATCAGTGCTGCAACCAATCAACTGTGACACTGATCAGTGTATATTGACAGCAGATGAGTCCCTGCTGTCAGAATACAGTAACACAATGTGGACGATTCCTCTACCCACCTGGCTTGTGTGGGTGGGGGAATCTGTTCAGTTTTCTTCAATCAGCCCGCTGGCTGATCAAAAAAAACTGATCCATGTGTAGCCAGCTTTAGAAGCAGGTCAAATTCTGTATGGCTTCAGCTTCTTCTGTGATGCTTTGATTCATATTCGAGTTTGCCTTCCAGTTTCTCGAAGAGTTCCATTAAGCTGCATCTGTGTTCCTTTTGCAGGCACATGGACTTATAAGTGCAAAAAGTGTTACTGTATAGAAGCTTTAACAGGGGGCAGCACAAACAATCTTAGGTTGTATTCCTATAGGCTCCATTGGCATAGGTCTGGCCCTGGAACAACAAAGGGATTCTGTGCATACTTCACAATTCCTTGAAGGTAAATTAGCCTAGCTGTAATATGTTCTTTCCCTATTTCCAACAGCTAAATTAGGTTACTTGGAATCCTTTTATTTTCACACATTCTAAACCCAAACCATTTGGAAATGGGACACCTGAACATGACATGACCTGAATAGAACATGACC